GCTGAAACACTGCACTACACTTAAGTTCCACACACTGCATTTATCACCAGCAAGGGACATAAATAATCTAAAGGGAAACAACAGAATGATGGTAGATAATCACTTCTAAGAACAGCCAAAATATTTGTCTAGTATTACATATTGCAATGTACAGGCAGTAAATAATTCTGATAAGCTGCATATAAACCTAATAGAGTACATAACTGAAAATTAACACTTATTAACTGCAAAATTTTGAATACAGTTAAGTATTTAACAGTGTTTTAATCACAAAAAATTATACAGTATACAAAGCTCTTATGGACAAAATCATATAAAGACAGCCCGCATATACTCCAAATTCCATTTTAATCACCTTATATCCCCTTAGTTTTTTTGCTTCTAGTATTTTCCCTTGTATCCATTATTCAATTCCCCAAGAAAATATATTCATTTATTTACCAAAGCAGAATATCACTCACAGCTCATTCCCTTTTGCTGTTGCCAATCTCCAGAAGAATACATTAATGTATTACATACACCCCTCACTTCTCCCTGCTCAAGCCCTGCACCACATTGATTTCCCTTCCCCTCTTTCCCCCCATATAACAGCAGCTCAGCCTGGATTCTCCAGTGAGGGACTACAGGGCGGCAGCTGCGTTTTTGTCCTTCTGGCCTGCTCTGCCATAACATAGGTCTTAACTCATTCCAAAACTTATGCCGATGGGGAATTGGGCATTGCAGAAACCCATTTTGCCACAACCGCTCTCTTTTGTGATCACAACCCTTCCTCTCAACAAGGGAAAGCCAATTACTCCACAAGGCAAAAGGCCACTTCTGCCAAGCTAAAATTACTGTAAAGAGAGCCACCACTTGGCTTCGGTCAGTTTAAAGATGCTCTGCACTGCCCACATGGCACAGCATGGTCTTCAGCAGACCAGACCGTAGTGCTGTAATTAACTGTCATTTTGTAGCATAAACTCCTAACTGCGACTCCAAGCTTTTGGCTTTCAAGCATGGGTTTTTGATGAAATGAAGCTGCACAGATTTAGAGTCAGTTTAAACAATTAAACTTCCACTTTCCTTCTAACATTTTAAAACTTGGAAGTTGGAATGGAACTCTTCAAGCGGAGACTGAGATGCTGCCAAACTGACTTAGTTTTCCTCATTTTAAGGTCAATGACCTGTTCCTATTTCTGTAGGCACTTTCAAGTGTTATTCTTGAACATTTGCAATAGGACGAAAATGTATTATCCTGAAATAAAAGGGAGTGAGGAAATACACACACACACGTACATGTGTGTACATGTATGTATATATTTTTCACTGACCTGTAACAGAAACTTGCTTTGTGCATTTTCTGTAGACTATCTTAATGTTACTTGTATCAGGATTGAATACAAAATCTCCGGGGGTTACCATCAATAAAAATATCTCACATTTTGGAGTTTGTACATAATTTCTTCTTGTTTTATCCAAATCAGGAGACTGGTCCTAGTTAACATTAAAGAGTAAGTGCAGCTTACTTCACTTCCATCCACTATATAAATACAGTTTCAAAATCCTCTGTCTGAAGCCCATTGTTGCACTGATAATGCAATATTTAGCCAGTTCACTCAATGTGTAAAGCCTAACCTCAGGTTGAAGTGAAGAGCTGTAAGCCACTTACAGGAAAAACCACTACCAGCACCCATTAAGGTGCAACCATTGCCCTCTTGCTGTTATAAGGAAAGGAAGTTACATCATTGAGCACTAAGATTTGAAAATCCTGGCTTAAAGACATCCACACGCTAAATAGCGCATGGCTTTTCTGTCACCTAAACCATCCTCCTTGCAGGCCAAACTCGGCAAACAAGGGAAAACTTGCATAAAGCACTCATAGAAGTTAAAGACATAAAAGGTGATATTCTGTACTAGCTCCCTAAACTGGAGGAATTACTCATGTAAGATTCAGCACCTAGGAAATGCCCACAAAGAGCTGGAAACATTTAAAAAAGCTACTTTAGTTAGGAACTGAATTAATACTTATTGTGTCTTTTTTACAGATTCATTTAACTCTCAGGTAACCAAGGCTGCATTCACACTACTGAATAAGAGGGACAGAATAGATTTAGATGCTTAGTGTGACATCCAAGCTTCACAGAACAATGGAAAATTTGGACCACGTAACATCCAGAGATGCCATGTCCTGTCTCACTATATTTGATGGAATCAGATTGTTGCTCTTCACTCATGTTGATTACAAGCAGCTCAAGCACAGCTCCTATGCCAGGGCAGTACTACAAGGTTATCAGAGAGGCTGACAGAGTACAGGGCTACTAGAAAATCAAATGTGGATCTGCCCAAAGGTGATGTTGCCAAGTCACTCTAGCACATAGTTACGGACTTGGCCCTTTCCTGCTGTAGAAACACATTGTGAACGCTCGAGAGTCACAGCCAGATGCTGGATGAAACCTTGAGTTCATAGAATCATAGAATGTATTGGGTTGGAAGGGACCTTTAAAGATCATCTAGTCCAATCCCCTGCAGTGAGCAGGGACAATGTTACCAGATTAGGTAGCTCAGATCCCCATCAAGCCTGACCTTGAGTATCTCCAGGGTTGGGACCTCCACCATCTCTCTGGGCAACCTGTTGCAGTGATCTACCACCCTCATATTGCAGCACTTGAGTCCTGATGTCCCTCAGCTCTCCAATATGTAGATTTTCAATGTATGCAGTTCTCGTCTATAGAAATAATTTCACTTACAGTCAACAGGAAGGTTTGCCAGCACAATGCTAATGAAGAGAGGCAGTTACGTGCCCAAGTTCAGTGTTTTAAACATTGGTAGCTCAGCTCTCCCCCTTCTACACTGACTTAAGAAATCTTGAGAGTCCCCTAGATTGTCAGAATACAACCCTACATACCCTGAATCATCCTCATATTTTCCCCTTAACAAGTATTTTGGTGTTATGCAACATCCTTGAATAGGGTTAGAACTCCTACAGCTCACTTGGTTCCACAACAGGCCCAAAGTCCAGCCAAGGGAAATTCTTATTACTGTCGCTTGTCCCACCAGAATGGGATGGCTCTTGGCAGTACACCAGCAGGTACACGTTTGCAGAATCTTTCTTTCGTACAAGCAAGATAGACTTTGGATTTTTTCAACTGTGATCAAGGATAGCTGAACAGATCTTACACTCCCGCTGATGATGTTTCCATAAACTAGAACAAAGTTTCGCTGATGAAATCTAGCATGGATGTAAACTGTCATTTAAAAAAATACTTACAATTAACTACATACTGTAAGAAATTAATGACTATTAACTATAAGCAAGAAGAATCTGGTCAAAATTTTAGTTGTTGGACTTGGGATTTTTTGTCCTTTTTTTTTAACAAGCTGGAACAAGAAACATGTGGCATCTGTATGGGATTACGCAGTCTCAAAACATGTAAAATGTTTTGTCTATGTAAAATAGACATCATTCTTCATAATACAGTATACTATGACAATATTATCATATTTATTTTACAGACTACCAAACGAGACTAGAATGGTAATTCACATCCAAAACCACCTAAGGCATTGACAGAATCACACAGATCCAGGGCTGAATTCAGAAGGATAACCTAAAGGGCAAAAGAGGTACTCACATAATTAACTCTTCAATTAGGGCCTAAATGTATATCCTCTGTGTTCTAGTCATGCTCAAAAATTAGCAAAAAATACACAATAAATGAAAACTACATTATTTTTAAGAGATGTGTTTAACACTGCAATTTACTATGTAAATCAAAAATGGCATTTATAAAGCAGCAGAAAGAAGCCAAAGAATTCATACTGGACAGTCAGAATTATAATGTAGAAACTGCTTTGAAAGTCTTGGTAGAAAATCATTTGTTTGGCATTGATTATTCATCTACTTCTAAAACAACATGTCATGCACGTCCAACAGGGAATGAAAGAGCCAGAATAAATGGCGTCCTATTCCACTGACTCTATCAAGAGGCTTGTTTAATAGACATAATTCCAGAGGGATCATTTTGTCTATGAATAAAAAAAAAATACTCCAGACAAATATATTAAATCCATAATGGAGAGAAGAAGAGAGAATATTTGGGTGGGATGAGGGTTATTTTGCTATTAAAATCTAGTACTGATCTCATTTACAGTATTCAGCTATATTCGAGGCAACTCTGGACTGCCTTCTTAGCTAATGTAAACTGGCATTTTCCAAGAAAATGTTCAGAGTTTAAAAAAAAAAAACAGTTACAGAGAAGATTTTGGATTTAGAGAAAATATTTTTGAAATATAATTGTATTAAGTTTTATCCCTACTTGCAGTTCTGATACAGTGAGTACTTGGAACCTAAAATTTCAGGACATGACAGGAATCTAACCTGCACCTTCACTACTGGTCTTACAAAATAGTTAACTAAAGGTGTGACTTTTTTCAACTCTACCATGATGCCTATGAAAGCCTCTTTTTTGGGAGGGGAATTAGATATTAAAGGACTATCACATGCATTCTAACAAAGGGTTTAGAGATAACTGCAACAGTAAATACTGTAATAAGTTCAGTAACCTACCATCTGTCTGTGATTTACTGAGGAATATCGTACTGGCCCGTGGATGATCAGATGGGTTGAATTCCATGTTCAAATCTGGAAAGAAAGAAAGAATAGCACAAAAACATTTATGATTATCCGGTGGTATACACAGATTTTCCCATTCTTTTTAATAAGATGGCGTTTACATACTTAAGCAGCAGTAAAACAAAATCCATCTTGAGGCCCACTTTTTTTATCCTTCTTCACACAAGTGGCTCTTTTTGGCATGTAAATAATTTGCATCAACACATCCCTAGGATTAGACTTCAGTTCTAAGGGCTGGTTTTGGATTAAAACAGATAAAGCAGCTTCAGAAGTTTGTACACAAGAAGTCAGGAATTATCCATTTACCATCAGTTTCTTCCTACCATGCCCCAAAGCCATTGGTAAGCACAGAAACACAGTTTGTTATACCTAATTATAGAAGAATTAAGTATTACAAAACAAATACGCAACCTTCTGCAGATAGATGGGTTTCCAAGATTATATATATGTGATTAAACTAAGTAGCTATTGTAGCTGAACATAAACAAGCTAAGTCTACGGCCAGAGTGTTTTAAATGGTCAACATTACAAAATCTTGGAACCTTCCTGATACTTCACAGATGAACATATCCCTTGCTGTGACAACTTCTTAAAAAAAATCCAACTAAAAAACCTTTGCCAGGTTAAAGATGCAAATCTATCACAGCTTATACAAACTTCTATGAATACTATTTTCCCCTGTCGAGGTTAAAATCCATTAAATTTACTTGTTTCCAAATTCCACTGCACTACCAATCTGTCAATTCTTACATGCCTGCATCCACTTGAAAGCATGCTACTAAACACTGCATATAATTTTTCAGCATTTTCTTCCTCTCCCAGCGTGGCTATCACAACCTTACATTCTCTTGATGTCCAGATACACGTTCTCTTGCATTTGATGCAAGCACTTATGCATGAGCACTGATAGGTTTATCTTCTGCTTTCTACATTTGTGTCACTCCCCTTCCATATCTCTGTGAAAACTGAGCAAAACTGGAAATTAAGCCTCATGTGTTATGAAAACAAAACAAAGTCTTTCTGCCCAGAGGTCACATTCTCCCGTCTACAGCTTTCCATGTTCCTTTACCATTCATCACCATATTCTCTTCTGCCTTTCCCTTCTATTTACTAATTTACTAGGTATTCCACATCCCTGGTGTTTTCGCCTGACCACACACCTCTCTACAAATGTACTTTCTATTTGTATTTCCCCCCTTATGCTCTCTTGGTTTCCTTGTTATCTCCCTGCATTCTGCAGCCCATGCGGTGAGCAGCCTGATGTGCTGCTGGTACCTGGACAGCTGGAATAAACATGATCTTACTTGGAATGAAGAATCCAGAAGATCAACTCCTGACTTGGAAAGGGGGATTACTGTTATTATCAAACTCACAAAGGAAAAAATAAACAATCAAAAACTAATAATTTCAAAGGAAAGAGATTATTGATTCTCCCAGAAACCAGTTTGTAGCCAAGCTTGGAGAAGATTCTAGAAGGTCACCTTACTAGTAGAAGTTATGACTTGAAAGGACTGGGTTAGAAAGAATGTTTTCCTGTTACTTTCTTCATCTTTTTTTAGACACAGAGATGAAGAAAAAAAAGAACAGATAGTGCTGGCAATGATTGTTTTCCATTTCAGGATAGTTTTTCCATTAAGTGGAATTCAAGATGCAATTCATTAAGTAAAGAGTAATCAGCATTTTAAAATTACAAAATACATTGTCTTTTATTCTCCTCATCATCTTTTATCCAAAAGCACAATACATCACCATTACAAATAAATGGCTTTTTGTTAAACCACTATAGACAATCTTTCTACAAATCTTTTAAAGAACAGCAATGCAAATTCAGTCAACAAAACAGGACCACATGAGACTGAATTCAGCATACAAAACCCTGCCCCTAAACAGACAGGCATTCCTTTCCTTCAAGCCCAGAAAATTATCTGCTCGGGGAGTAATAACAACCTAGCACAGGCTTACAGGCTGTTTGCAGGGCTGAATTTGTTCTGAAAAAGAACAAATTGCCACATTTTGCAGTCAAGTTGCAACTATTTAAGATTCCTGTGTTACAAAAGGCTGTTAAGCAAAAGCAGCAAACCAACAGAGCACTTGCAGTCTTTCTCAAAAAAAAAAGCCACCAAAAAAAGGCTACCAAAAAGCACTGGCGCTCAGATAAACTGTTATTTTCAGAGAGGAGCTGAAAGACCAGCAGAATTCAGCAAAATCCAGCAAAACCCAGTCTCAGCAGCTGCAGAAGCTGGACCAGGGATTTTGAATCACCCTGGGAGAGGCAGTACTCGCTGCCAGACAGTGGCCGTGGCTCCTTCCCACCACTGAACCCCCCAAAGTTCCATGTGTCCTCTTCTCTCCACATACTTCTCAGCAACAGCAGCCACCAAACACATTCATCCATCTTCCGCAAACTGCTTGCACGAGGAGGAGAACACGGGCACAGCCTGCTGGGGCAGGTTACCCCAAGGCGATGCCAAGTGCTGCTGAGAGAGGCCGGCTCCCCACCTTCCTTGAGGAACAGCACAGGTCCTGTGGGCCTGCAGCAGAAGAAAGTGCCGTTTGGTGGGGAGCTGCAACTCCATCGCTCCCAGCTCCTCCAGGGAAAAGCATCAGGCAAACTGGAGCATCCCACAGGCCACCTGCGGGACCACACCACTGCAAGACACCACTGCTGCCACACAGGAAGATTAGAACGGATGAAGCTTCCACAAGATTTCAGTCTCTGGTTGATCTTAGACGTTTTTATTAATTGTACAACTTGAAAACAACTGCCTCTTTGAATCTGGCAACAAATTCTTACAAATCTGTAATTAGAAACTGTGTTACAGAAGAAAGAGATCAAATGACAGAGACATATCTGAAGCTACTAACTCATCACCAAAGGGCATTACCCATCCTAAAGAAAATAATATATTCAAACTTCTTAAGTCTTATCAGTAGTTCTTTCTAGTAATTGAAAAGTATCACAAAAAACAGCCACAATATGAAAAGGTTACCCATTTTGTAATGGCATAGCTGAAGATGAAGATTTAAACTCACGCAAGCAATACTCTATTATTCGAAAGCAAGGAAAATGAGAGACAGGGTTTCAATGATTGAAATCTGCACAGAACAATTCTCCATTGCTAGAAGTCTGCTCTGTGACTCATCACGGCCTTATAAAGGAAAGATTTAAAGTGCGTAATTCTTCCTACAGTTACCCTGCACTCCAAAATTTGCTTTTATGAAAAAGTCACTGTCTTATAGACAGTGCAAATAAAAAATATTTCACTGTAGATGTTCTTTCCAGTTAGACAGATGTGGAATGTTTCTCCACATCTTCTCACAGTTCAAAGATCAGGTTTTCTTCTTTTTTGGTTCCAAAGGACTGTTAAGTTATGCAAAAATGTAACTTCTATTCTGTAAACAACTACACAGTGATATGCCCCATGAAAATTTCAGGAGTTTTGGCTTCTCAGGATTAGGATGCAAAGGTGTGCGTTCATAAAGACATGTATACACGCACATGCATTTATCTATATCTATATAGACGTATATTTAGACCAAACCTAATTTTTGGTTAACAAAAGCAAAGGCAGCTTCAGGTACTGTTCAGCGAAGAGATCATGTGCCTAACAGAATACACACAATTTTTGATTATTCAGGCAAGACCAGAGTTACAAATACAAGCAAATATACTTACGACTGCATTCTCTGTCTTGCTTAGTATCACGCCACAATAACAGTTATTATAGCGGGAATTCTAATTTATCATGTCAAAATAAAGTCACTCTCTCCAAGAAAAAGAAGTAGATTTTGCACGCAGCTTAGTTCAGAACATAACTGTGCTGAAGTTTAAGCACCAGAAGATCACATTGAGATTCACCCTGTACATGGTGAGAAACAGTTCCTGAAGCCACAGTAGCTGCGTTCAAAGATGGCCATAAAAAGAAGCGAACTGTAAAACAGTTTGGTTTCAGACTTGGGCTAAAGCCCAGATAAATCTCAAAACAAGACCTTAAAAGCATTACTGAGACCAAAAATATTGAATACAACCTCAGTCTGCGCTTTTTAAAAGGATAAGAATAAAGTTCAGATGAGTGTAAAAGAGAGCTACAGGAACGACCGGAGGACTTGCAGAAACTGCCTTCAAGTGAGTCTGAGTTCAAACCATTTAGCTGATGAAAAAGGAAAATCAGAAGGTCTCTGAAGTTCACATTTTCTTCTCCCCCTGTGAAAGTGCAATTGCTGAAAGCTCTCTCTAATCTAGCACACACCATAACAAAGCCAGTGGAAAATGAAAGCAGAAAGACCTTAATTATGAACTTGGATGGAAAAAAAAGGGAGGATAATTAAGCACTGAAGCTCCAGACTCAGGGAACTCAAGTCATTTTGATGATTTTCCCTAGAAGATTGCTTCAGCCAAACATCTTTAGGCCAGCGTGAGTATTTAGGCTCAATTTAAGAACAACTACATGCAAACTACTGGCATATGATTCATATGCAGGTCAGATCAGATGATCCCAGGGGGCTCTAGTCCAAGTTCTATAAAATCTTCAGAAATAGCAATATTTAAATTATTAAGCAGAAAACCTCAGCAAATCTCAGTGGCACATCTGTAAACTTTCTAAAACTGTACCAAAACTCTACTGCAATTCTTCAGAAAGAGCTAAGTTTTAAGCCTTGTGGTCAGAATACATTATGATGAGACTAAATTTCTTGTGGCAAAATTTTAACCCAAAAAAGAAAGTTTCTTCAACCCATTCGTCTATTGAGATAGAAAAACACACCACAAGAGGATGAAGGATGGATGGTGTAGCAACTCACTTCTGAACAATATGCATCAGAGCTTCTGTCATGACACAAACAGGAAAAACCAGGAGTTGCTGCTTCTATAACAGTGCACATGGGTTACAGCACACTGAGCAGGTCTGAAAAATGTGTTTATTCTATCAGAAAAATAAGATACTGCTTCCTTTTGAACAATGAAAGTTGGGCAAGTTTGCACTGCCAAAGCTCTGAGGCTGATT